CCTAAACATGTAATTTGTGTTAAACTTTTAATAAATTGATGTTAAATTAAGTTTCATGATTTTAATTAATTAGACATGCTTTTTGATTAATAAAATGTAATTTAACCATTAAAAAGGAGTCCAGAAAAATTTAAATGGAAAAAAGCCGTAAACCGTAAAGCCGTAAACCTAGGGGAAACACTGTTTATAATCATTCTCTGAAGCATCTTTCATTTTTTTGCTGACATCAACCAACTAGCTAGTCTTATAAAATTTACTGTAAACTCTAGTGTGGAACTGCCACAAAGATCAACTCCCAATGGAAAAAACTAATCCTATCCTACATATTTTTCTTGTTGTATCCATTCACAAAGAAATATGTTACTGATATAAAACAGGTTCGAATGTCAGTTCAGTGTAAAAACATAAAATAAAATGTAACGTTTAAGTTAACTAACAAAACTATCATAATTTTAATGGTAAAAAGTTCCCTTACACTATAGTGAAAAACTGGAATAGCTCTAATGTGATATTTCATGTAATTTACAGTAAAATACTGTTAAATGTACAGTTTTTGAAAGTGCAAAAGAACAAGTCATCTTATAATTTACAGTAAAAAAAAAAACATATACATTACCAGAATTCTGTGTGACAGCTCACGTTTGATGGGTTTTCACTGAAATTATGGTTTGTTCTTTGTTTTTCCTTATTAGTCATGTACATTAGGGTTTTACGTTACATCTTCTCTTTACCACATGGGTTTTGAAGGTGGTTGTCAGTATATTATAAAGGTAAAAAACAGATTTTAGTAATTTGGTATATATTAACATTATTTCAGTTAATGAAATATACATTGTTTACTGTAAATTTAATTTCAATCTGAGAATATTGCTACCATATTTATTTTTACAGTAAAGTTCAGGCAACCATAGCTGCTGTTTCTTTTTTCTTTCTTCATAAATTCCACAGATTTTTTATTTTTATTTTATTTTTTCAGGCTGACTTAAAGGACCATATCAGGCAGATGCAGCTTTAAAGTAAAGCAAAATCACAGTGCATGCTGACAAGAAACTAAAAACATGATGGAAAAAGGCCTTTTCTAAAGGTCCCCCGTTTCTTCAAGCAAATGTGCAGTTGTGTGTGTTTATGTCCAGCAACGCTAGCCTCTGGTAAACACAATCATTATCTCCCCAATCTAAACAAGCCTTTGCTTTCCCAGAACATACAGCTTTATAAGCAAGGAGGTGATTAAGGAGAAAGTAGTGGATGAAGCAGGGCTGCAGCTAGAGAGGAATCACGGGCCTCGCGACGTTAAACCGCGGGTGATGCAAACACCAATGGCTTTAAATAATGATGCAGCCTTTTTAATCTTCTTCATATTACAGCTCAAAAAAACCCGCACTGTGTTAAAACGGCTCAGTTTATACTTTTGTGCAAAATTATCAGCCTATAAAACGGACAATAAGAATTGGAATGATGTAAAAGCTTTTGTAATAACACCAGCATGCTACAGTAGTAATTTTATCATCATATTCAACAGTCTGGAAGACTTTACCCAAAAATGAATAATGCTCAAACAGCATGTCTGCTGCAAAGACTTTTTCCTCCAAACCACAAACCACTACACGTAGAGTGATTGAGTGAACAATCCGGTTTTAAATTGCACATAATGCAGACCATGAAAATGTATTTGACAAAGAGCTCAGTGTACGTTTCATCTGAAATATGTAATATTGTGCCACAGCTAAAATCGTAATCGTAACTATCTATTTCTCTCTGACCTGCATAGACCATTATGCTATTAAAGGTATCTTGTGTCTGATGCAGTCCAAACCTATTACAAAGTTTGCTTATTTAGGAACAAACACCATGTTAGACATATAAGGCTCTGTGATGCTACGAGCCTGACAGACCAAAAAAAAAAACGTATGAATTGATGCATTTCTTAATTTCAAAGTGAGCACAAGACAGAACAGCTAAAAATTGACTCACAACCATAAACGGAATGCATAAAAAAGCAAACTGAACTGTATTTCTGTGCATTGTCCCTTGTTACTCACATATGCACGTGTGGCGGTTGAAAGCGGCTCTGGTTAATGTTGTAGTGGGTGAAGGCCTGCGTGGGGTTGGAGCTGTACTCGTCCACCGAGATGGTCACTTTGCCTTGTGACGGCATTCCGTGGGCCATTCTTTCTCCACGTGACACATGAGACACTTCACCAGGACCCTGGAGCGACCCACGCAGTCAGCATCCTTCAGAACCACCACTTAAACGCGGAAAAGAACCCTTGACAATGCCGAGATGAAGGACGAGATACTATCTGTGAAGAAAGAGTGACAGAATAAAGATTATGATGTGAAATCAACTGCATAAAATGACTGTAATACAGAATAATAATAATAATAATAAAAATAGATGGTAAAACATGGAAATGGCTAAATAACTGAAGTTGTATTGCAAAAAAAATGTAAATTATGTACAATATTTGCTTTGTAGAAAGTCTATTACCTTACTGAAGTGTTATATTCTTTATATGAATGTAAAGAGTAATTGACCGCAAATAAAGTGAAAATGGACAATCATTAAATTTCTACCTAAAAAATGCCTTTTTTTTTTTTTTTTGGGGTTTTTAGTCATATTA